GATCAAAGTGGGTTCCTCTGATTTTAATTAATGTTATACAATTGTGAAACAGCCAAATCTGAGTTTAGTTGAAGAAGCTTTCTTTTTAACCAGAGGCAAAGCCAGACAGTTTTGAATGACGAATACAAGATAAATTAGGAGGTGTGCCCAAACAGAATCAATCGGATCCGTTTGCAGCGGGTTTTTATGATGAAAATCAAGACAAGGCGATGACGGGCTTGTTGGTCCCATTAATACCCGGGGCAACGCCTCTTGTCGCCTTCACGTATGAAAGGTATTCGCTATAATGCATGCTGAATAGTGTACTCTGGTATCGTGTTAGATGGATTCGCCTACGCACTGATTCCGTTATTTCACCATTGTATCCTGCTTTACGCACCAGCGAATCTATTGCCTCGATCTTTGTCCATCCTGGGGGGGGGGGGGGGTAAGTAATTTTAAGATTATTGAACCAAGATATCCAACACAGCAAACAGTATTAAGTAATTAATATCCTCTGTGGAAGGTAAGTAGTATTTGATCCAAACAAACCGCGCGGTTTCTCAAGTCTATATATGCAAATACCTAAGGAAACCTAAGCTTTTATCACTTGTTACATCTACATTTAGATTTCATTGACTTCCTCCTTTTCATATCCTCTAGTTAAAACACAAGGGGATTTAAAAGAAAAGTTCCATTCATGAAATATTGTATCAGAATGGTACCTTCATGAGCTGGCACCTCAGGCAAATATGTGGCGCTTCGCTTTGTATTAGTCACAGGTTCAGTAAACTCGATGATTATACCATGCTTTCCGACCTTCAGAGTCAAATCAGGGAAAGTGTGGAAGATAAAAACATAAGTAAGAAGAAATCGACAAACTAAATGTACTCGGTGTGAAAGTATAACTGAGTGGGACATCGGAATGTTTATAGGATGTGCAGACCAAACAGTTCCTTGTTGGTGACTAGATTCTTTTTTTCTGTTTTTACTTTTAAGGCAGTGAATGACATACTGTAACAGAAGAGTGAAGAGAATACCTCCCAATCAAGATAATCTTCTGCAGATTCATAATCAGTCAAAACAGACACCGTACATTGCAGAAATGGCAGCTCTTTGGCTTGTATTGGTGGGAACCTACGATCCCTCAGGGCACTGCAATATTACATAAAACAAAAAACATGAATTTACAACCAGTGACATGAAGGAAAAAAGGCAGATAAGCTATGGGAAACACCAAGAAATAGACAAAATACACCAACATATACATGCTTGCTTTGTGGTTTCAAGCCCAAAAATTTCAAAACCGAAGTACTCAATTCCTTTACAGGAAGTTGGAGCCTTACTTGTTTGCACTGTTTCTCTATTGTTCAAGATATCCACTTTTCGAGGAAAGATACCAAGAAACAATTTAATCTTGGCTGCAGAAGATTTCGGGTTGCAACAAAAAGATAAGTTACACACGTAACTAAGATAGTACAGAAACAGCTGAAAAAGCTGATACTTGATATGAAATCTTCTAGGTCCAGATAATAGTGAAAAACACCATATTTTCTAATGTTGATTAACTAGACAAAAAACTGCTATCAACAAGGAAAAAAATTAACAAGAAGAGACGCGAAGCAGACGTAAAAAAAGAAATTTTAACAAAATCGCTAATAGACAATGTCTAAGACTCAAGAAGACAGAAATCTGATAAGCAAGGCTGAGGAAGAACAAAGCTTGAAAGAAAAGGAAGCTTTTAAAGGCAAAACAGAATAAAAAACGCATCATTGTTACACTTGGCCAAAGGAAATAGCGTGAGAATCGAAAAAGAAAACCAACAAAAAAAGAAGCGTGAGGAATAGTAGTAAGAACCTCGTCAAGGCATAGTCCTTGAAGCCACTGATCAAGCGGCGTGCTTCCAGTGTACCAATACATCCACGCAATCGAGGCTCCCCACCATTCACTATTTTCTTCCAGGTAACAAACAATGGACTACAAGACAAACACAAACACTGAACTGTGAGTAAGAAAAAGATTACGTGTTTCAGTATATACCAACAATCCATACATTCAACATATTAGCTCTGACTACAGAACATAAACCTGTACGAAAGAGTAAGCTAAAAAAGTATAAGCTCTACTACTAAACATAAACACTGAGAGCAAAAGGTATCACTATAGAAACAGAACAGCTGCGATCCTGCAAGTTAGCGGCACATATTTTATGAAAGTGATCTGCTTTTAGGTGTAACAACAAAGATAATTAGGACCAAGAGCCTTCAGAACTGAACTGGAATCTAGTCTAAAGTGGGTGATTCATGCTAAGGAACTAAGAAACCTCACAAAACGCATACTTTAAGAGAGATTCAGAACTTGCATGTCACAAAAAAAACACAGAAACGTACTGATTCCCCTCTTCAAAGGCAGGTAAGGGAGACTCTTCGTTGTTGTAGTGAGAGACCAAAGTGTCGAAACAGTAGACTGCCATTTCTCTGTTCGCCGACACCATTCTTTTGCTTTGAAGAGAGAACTGCAGAAAAAAATCCCAAATCAGCAAGTAATGTGAACCTGAAATACCCAAAATCCTTTTATACTTATAGAACCAATTCTTTGAAGAAGAAGATGAATAATACAACTTCGCATGGAGATATATACACTAGTACCCAGAGCTAAAAATCGAAAGCAATTCAGAAATCTAAGAACGAATTACACAAAGGAATATATAATTTGCATTAAAGAAAAACTTTGAATATTTAATAGCGAAGGTCGAAAATTGAAGATCGGGAAAAGGAATTGATATTTTTTTTCTTTCTCAAATTAAAAGACGCAGGAATCTAGAAGGACATAGAGATCTGTAAGAAGAATTGAAATCAAAACAGATATTGAATCGATTGTGAAGATTAACACATAAGAGGGCGGAGAGAAGGAAAACCTGAGAAAAGAATCGAAGAAGATCTGTGAAAATTTTGTTAAGGGAAGTGTGTACGTTTTAATAAGAAAAGCTTTGAGCACTGAATCTTTTGTTGATGTGTCTTTTTCTCAAGGACTTAACTATTCAATTACATCTACGGCCCTGTTTTTAGTATATAGTTTTTATATATAGCCCTAGTTCGATTAATAAAAAGGTTTATCTAATAAATCATAAAAATTGTTAGAAACAAAAAAAACAAAATTATTGAGGTGATATGAATCTAAACTTAAGACCTAAGCTCCATGGAATCGAAACGTGGAACCGAAACATTAGGAAACACAAAAACGATTTTATTTTATAAAAGAGAAAACGAAAACGTTTTGGAAACGTGTATATATCATGAAACAAAATATATCAATTGTTTTAAAATATTTGAAGTAACACAAATCCAATCCGACTCCAACAAAAAAACACTTCGTTTATGTATAAGACTTCACGATTTCAATAATCAATAACAAATCTACTGTAATCGAAAAATATATCTCTTCGATTCTTCTACCTTATCCATTTTCGAACAAAGAGTGGTGTTTTCGTAATTCTAGATGATTAGAGAAAAAGAATGTATTATTGTTTAATAATTAGGTTTTAAAACTTATTAAAAACGACAAACAAATCCCTATATTTTCAAAATATTTATTCAATTTGCTTCCAAAACCAAAAGTCGTGTTTCCAATTTTGGAAACACATTTCCAAATTGGAATAATTAAGAAACGCGTTTCCATTGCGTTTCCCCGCGTTTCCGTTTCCGAAACGGAAAACGGACCTTGGGTGGAGTTTCCATGCAACTTAGCTTAAGACTAATTTTTAGAATAATAAAGGATTTTTTATATCCGATGAAACTATATGACAAGAGATACCGGGAAGAAACCAATTTTGTGGATTTGTAACCGTTGATAAAGATATTATGTTTGTTGATTTGTATAATGGAGATCACTCTCTCATCCTAAATGAACTGATGATTTTGTGTTTCATCGGGTCATGGCCACTGGATCCACGCCGAAAATTGCAGTGGTTTAGTAGAGGATATAACAGAGTATATCTCCACTCCGACGTAAAGAATATTTTCTATTAGGGAGAAGAAGAAAATTGTGCACAGTAACCGTTTCCAAAACTCTTTGTTAAGTGTTTACAAAGACGAAAACGAAGATCTTTTGATAGACTGATCACGCACATTTCATCGTTTTTCCATATCGATTAAAAAAAAAATCATATTTTCATCACCACAAAAAAAAAATAGTTTTTAATA